CAGTCATAGTAACCCAAGTGTGGTGTTTTGTAACAGGTGAGAATACATGAACACAAAGGTCAGTGGCGTACGCCGTCCAGTGCCACAGGAAGCAAACAGTATACAACATTACAATAAGGATCTCCGTCCGGAAACGAGGCCAACAGAGTATGGATTCATCAAGATAAGGCTCCCCACCATAACTTCGTTCAACTGTCACACACCTCAGGCAGCTGGAGAATAAAACAGCTATTCTTATTATTCCATATAAGAAGACATGCCGGTGAAGTCAAAATTCGCAGCCCCTATGGATTTATCTGCAATCGAATCGTTGAAACGGGCGCCGAGAAAAGTCGTTCTTGCACATTAAAGTTATTATGTAAGACATCAGGGAGGAGTAGTGTGCTTTTGAAACAACAACCTTATGACGGAGCCTTTTGCCATGTAAACTACGCTGCAGGGTTACTGTCAAGATACAGGGTCGTCAGACAGAGCATGACCGAACGTGTCGACATGGATTTTAAAGACACGGTTATGCTCAAAATATTTTTAATATATCGTAATCAACGTTCTACAGAACCTATATTTTATAAGTATGCTGTTATTGTATCTAGGTTTCCTGGTATGTATTTTAAATTGAAAAATGTATTCCACAGTTTTGTGCACTACATCAGTACGGGTCAAAATGGACCCCATATTATATATATATACATATATATATACTTCCAGATGCTGTTATGTATATATCTATATATATTGCATAGTGTCATAATTAGGAGGGAGTATACCACGTCTAGGTTTAATATATATGAGGCAATAACACAAATATTGCGTCGTACGTGATTTGAAATTGATGAGATTTATTACCTCATGGCATGTTCTAAACTCATTCACGAATAAAAAGCAGAAAAATATTTCCTGAAAATTTGCATCTAGTTATCAGTAGTATTTAGTTACATTTTACCCTATGAAAAAAAAGAAGTTTTTACAGGCTAGAAATACACGAAATTATGATTCAATAATAGAGAAAGAGGAATTCATTCAATGGACCAAATGGAAACCACATAATTTACGAAACTAAAATAAAAAATCGATGTTTTTTTAAAGATGTGTTAGATGCTAGTGTTCTACATGGCTACAGCATGTAGATCCAGAAAAAAAAACCTAATGGAATTTTCAGAGGAACAAAATGTGTTGCTTACTAATATAATCGGGCTATCAGATATGCAGCAGGAGCTCCGTAAGAAAAGATACTGCCTAATCAACACTGCTGTAATATCAAATTCGAAGGTTGTTGCGCATATTCATATTGTTCAAGATCAAAGGACAAAAAAATTTCTCTAATTTTCCATGCATAATAATTTTATGTGTGTGCAATGAACATT